GGGCCTCCGCCGGGCGCCGCTCCGCGGCCTCCAGCCCGGTGCTTGGCTGGGCAGGGCGGGTCTCTGCCCGGCGCCCCCAGTTGCACCGACTCTTGCCTTGGGTTGAGTTCCTGGTCTTGCCGTTTGCTTCTCCGACTCTGCTCTTGTTCGGCTCAGGCTTCGCTTTCAGGGAGTTACCTAACCATCTCCCGAAACCGCTTCCTTAATTCCCCTTGCTAGGGGGAAATTTTCTTTGTTCGTTCCCCCCCTCCCCTTTAAGTCCAAGAGAAATGCAGTGTGGAAGATTACGTCATCGCAGTATATAAGGGGTGAGAGTTTTAACTCCTACAAGTCAGGGGCTCACCAAGTTAAGACAGCTTCCTGCGGACTTGGTCCGGCCATCACCCAGGGGCCCGTTCTGCCGGCTTCCCAAACACATCGTATTCAGACATGAGGTTTTGAAATCCTGGTATCTGCGTTCTTGGCTGCTTCAAATGTGTCTAAACGTAAGACACACCATCTGTAGTCGCTTAGGCGTTAACTTTAAGGTCCCCAGTCAACTTATATGAGGGAGCAATTCCTGGGTCCAAAATGGCTTTCCTAGACTGTTTGACTTCTCAATGGCTTATTTGATGAAGAGAATATGCCCAAGTCTACTCAAGCTCCCTCTTTGTGGTAAGGATATGTTGAAAAGAGAACCAGTTATTTTTATGCCTAATCTTTGTTTGGTGGGGATTTTAGTGTTGTTACTAAAAATGAATTTTGAATTTTTAATCAAAGAAACCCCAAGTAATATTAACATTTTTAAGCAAGTGAGATCCAATTATATTATGCATCTTTATAATCAAGGGTAGCTCCTGTTGGAACAAGTGCTTTCCCATTGTTACTCATTTGTATATAGAGAACACAGATTACTTGTTAAGAAACACTTAAAAGGAGTGGTAGGTTGAAATCAGCTTTCTGTAGTACGTAGGTGTTACAGAAGATTGGATAGGTATGGAGCTTGGATCTTTTGAAATACATTTGTTAACCTTAACATGGTATCATATTTTAGAAGCACAAAATTGGAACACTTATCTATTTCTTGAGTCTTCTGTAACAGATTTATATATACACACATTTGTCTCTTAAAAATATAATAATATTTTGGATTTACAATACTTAGACTGAGACAAGAAGATAAGAGATTGGTAATCAAATATTAAAAATGAGCTCCTAGCCAGGTGTGGTGGCTCATTCCTACTCTGGAGGCTGAGGCAGGAATATCACAAGTTTAAGGCCGGTCTTGGCAATTTTGTAAAATGCTGTCTCAAAATAGAAAGGACTGAGTGCTCCTGGGTTCAATCTCCAGGACACAGGGGCGGTGGTGGGATGGGAAATGAGCTGCTTTCCATTAATCTTTTTTTTTAAGATTTATTTTTTTTTTGTTAGACATGATACCTTTATTTTATTTATTTTTATGTGGTGCTGAGGGTCAAACCCAGGGCCCCGGGCATGCCAGGCTCAGCTCTACCGCTGAGCCACAATACCAGCCCCCATTAATTTCTTTAAGGCCTGAAAGATCAAATCCTCTACTTACCCATAAAATATGTTTTCATATTATGGCCAACACCCATGCTTAGTAAACCAAATTATTTTTTAGGAATCTAAACCAAATGTTGCAGCCTAGAGTAATATGTGAGTGTGAATTAGTGTGATTTTAAAGCCCATCAAGACCAAATATTGAAGTTTTTGCTTCAAGATTCATATTGCTGGGGCTGGGGATGTGGCTCAAGTGGTAGCGCGCTCGCCTGGCATGCGTGCGGCCCCAGTT